CCCCCCCCCTCTCTCTCTCTCTCTCACACTCTCTTTCTCGGCGCATCCGATGACAACCGCATCCTGTCCGAACGAGCGCTCGCGCGAGCTATCTCCCGGCCCATCTGCTCCTTTCTCCAGGAGGAACCACCACCACCACCAAGCGCGACCATCACCAGTACCATCGCGACGAGAGGATTTCGGCCCGGGCGATCCTGCTCTCTCGGTCCTGTGTCCTCTCTCTTTGGTACGCACGTGTTCGCACGCACACGAGCCGCGCGGCGGCCCGGTGGGTTCCAGTCAAGGGGGGTCGCCGAGGATGAGGACGATGGCGGCGGCGAGCACGGCGATGGCCCATGCTAAAGCATCTCGCCGTAGATACGAGACGGGGGGCTATTTATTTCCGTGCTATATGGGCGCGCTTAGCTCGGCTTAGCTTATGCTAATGCCCCCATTCTCGAGGAGCCACCTCCACCTTCTCGTTTTTACCCCCCTCCCACCCTCCTCCTTCGGCTGACTTTTTCTACTCTTTCTGCGACCGCCGCGCGACTGGTCCTTTTCTTCCTCGCTCTTTCGTATTCTTGGCTGCTGCCCCCCCCCCCCCTCCNCCCCTCCTCCCCGCTCTGTTCTTCCGACCCTCTGGAGATTCAACGTTTACCCTTCGAGAACGCGTGGCTCGGCTTACGTGCGTTCTTACATGCAATTACATATTCGCGATTTCCGATATTTGATCTCGTTTATTCAAACGGTTGCTTCCAATTTGCAAAAAAGGTGTCCTGACGTATCGATGAGGGAACGGGTGACTGATGAATTTCCGGTGAAAGCCGTCGTAGCGTGTCACCACGGCGATAACGGCGACGGCCAATTCGAGATCAATTTATTATCTACACGGTATACAATTTTCTGTTAAACTTAACACACTTCACATGTCCCAAACGGGGTCTACTCAAGTTTTTACGTTAACACTTAAAATTAATGCGTTAATCGACACTGAAGTATAAAATGTATTAGTTATTTTAACACTTACACATGTTGCATATCGGCACGACACAAAATGTCGAGATAACATAAACACAGTATATTGAATTAACACACACGGGTATGTTAAAGATTCAACACGAAAATTAATTTTAACGAGACCTACTTTAACGTAAGTGCAAAATGTTTCGTGCTGTGTATTACGGTCAGAAGGTTAAAGGACTCGTGTCGCTGCGAGGTTTAAAATGCGCCCGGGTCGGCGGCGTCATCTCGCGCAATTTAACGCGACGGGAGGTAAAAGTGCGGAAACACCCGTAATAATACTACACATGCGGTGGATTCGTTCGAAATGAAAAGTGGAATGTTCGCACGTACGGCTCGGCCGCGCTTTATTACGCTATTACGCGAGGTGTGTCACTGTAACGAAACGCGGAGGTAACGTATGCGAGATGCATTATTAATTACGGCAAGACCGCGGTATGCAGCTGTTTTAAGATCGCATCGCGAGATAAACGGAACGGTCGCCGGCGATCAAACTTTTGCCCCGTTCGCTCCACATAAATATGAGAGAGCGTTCGATGAAGTTAACGGGATCGTGAGAAACGTCCGCGAGAGCGGCGTGTCGCGATAACGACCGACCCTTCCCCGCGATCGTGACTGGTTCCGCTCGCGAATTACCGCGGTCGCGACGGAAACGCACCCGGGCGTCGTTTCTCCGGCTCGTTTTCGAAATGAATCATCGCGCGCGCCGATCGACATCGTGCCGGGCTGATCCAAATCTAATCTGCATCGAGCGCACGCGCGCATTCCCCTCAGCGCGAATAATCACTCTTCGCCAGCCGGATAATTAACTCCCCGCGATAATCGTGACGCTATCGATTCCGACAGGTTTTTTTTTTTTTCATCGATTCGCCGCTTTCGTAATGCCTTCCCTGCACAGAAAAAAAGTACTAGATTCAAGTATATAATCACTCCGATCACTCCTTGGCAAATTTTTGCTTTGATCAAGTAAAAATATTCCTCGATCCAAGTAAGGTTTAAGTTTACTTAATCCGAAGAAAAGTTTGCTGAGGAATATTGGGGTAATTGTTTACTTGAATCCAGCACATTTTTTCCGTGTAACGATTCACGGTGAAGAACATTTTGCGCTTGTGTTAAAATCACTCCTAGTTACGAAATTTGCGTTAAATTTTTAACATACACGTGAGTGTTAATTTAACATATGTCTGAAATCTAACAAGAATGAGAAATTTTTTACCGTGCACTTTACGCGCGCTTGCCGCACCCTCGCTTTCTCATTCATCACGCGGGTTAATGAAAATTGGGCGAGAAAACGGTTTTCCCTGCCTATTAATGAGAAATTGGCGCGCTACCTATCGGGTTTAAAGCGACACGTCGTTGTAATAGTTACGTCAGGCGGATTTAATCGCGCCGGTAGTCGAGAGACGTAAATGAAGTCGTGCTTCTCTCTCACCCCCACATTCCGTCGCGCTTTTAATACACACGACCGTCCGACGCGCGTGCGTTGAACGTCGGCATCGGGAAGACGCTCGGTGCGCGATTACGGTGTTTATGTATCGCGCAGTAATTGACGTGAAATTAGCGTGTCCGCCGGCGCGGATAAACTTCTTTCCGCTCCCTTTCTCTCTCTCTTTCTCTTTCCCTCTCGAGAACTCCTCCCCTGAGCCCGCGAAGAGAGGGCGGCTTTTTTCACGGTATACCCCGTCGTGCACAGCCGCCGGATCACGTGTTTAATTGTTCGGATAAAACGGCGGAACGAGGGCACGATGCATAAAGTACTTTTAGCTCCGCGGCCTAAGATCGGCCGCGACTCTCAGCTTTCTCCGTCGCGCATGCACGAGATGTGCATACCCGGTGGTCCAAAACGACCGAGCGCGCCGCTTGAATAATCGTCGCCCGTGATCATTACGGCCGACGATGTCGATACATCGACCGTAATTATACGGGAAAAGGAGCGCGCCGTGATAAGCTCTCTCTTCTCTCTCTCTCTTCCTCTTCCCCCCCCCGCTCTTCTCTCTTGCTCTATCTCCTTTCTTCTCTCTCTCTCTTTTATTCTCCCGGCTAAACCCATTAATTGCAAGAACAACCGGCGCTCGGCCATTTATCCCGCCGAAGCGTTTCCCGAGGATCCCGCGATCGATTTCCAGCCGCGTCGCGAAGTCCGGGGCGCGAAGAATCGCGAGCGTACCGGCGTCTCTCTCTTCCGGATGCCCGAAGCTAGTCATTTCTATCGCGGCCACGACGAGAAGCCGACGGAACACACACGTCTTTGTGCAACACGTAATCTCGGCAAATTACGCGAATACTTTTCGGCGAGATTATCGGCCGCGGCATTCTGAATGCGTGACGAACGCGCCTTTCTGATTCTCAAGCTGAGACAAAGCGATACGTAACATTCGTGTGCGAAAAACGGAACTCACAATCAAACAGGGTTTCGTGACTGGGGGCCGAGGCGCATAGAAAAACGTAAGCAAGACTTAAGCGGTAAGGAAGTTGACCCGTTACAATCGATTATTCTTCTCACATTCGACTGTGATTAGTCAGTTTCCTAAGGCTTACTACATCTATTGTAGATACCGCTGAAATTAGTGCCTGGAATAAAATCGACAGGCCGCGAACAGAAGCGACGGTCCCGTTTTTTTCCCGCCCGCGCGAGA